CGCCTTAGCTCCTTTCAGTTGTGGAGACATCCTATACTAACTCCAGCCTCTGACAGGATTACATTAAGTAATGATCAAAGAAAAAGAAACTTGCCACTCAAGCAATCTTCAGTGATAGACTTCTCTGAAGATAAATGTTTCTACAAAGCTACAGGAATTTTTTTTTTTTTTTTTTTTTTTTACATGATGCAAGTATTAAAATATTGTCCTCAAAACTTATCATAAGTCTCTTAAGCCTCCTCATCCTCTTGTATCAGTTTAAGAAAAAGGTAACTTTGCATCTCTGAGGAAGGGAATTACTATTAAAAGTTCAATTTGGGTTTTTTTTTTTTTCTGTTCTACAATTTAAAAAGTTCAAAATGTTGTCAGAACTCCACAGAAATACACAGTACATCATATAGGCACTATTTCTACAAATACAAAAATTCATTTAAAAAAACCACAGAGAAGAGAAACTATCAGAAATGTATGTAGACAATAAATTAGAAAAGTTTTATTTAAAAAGTTACAACAGATTTGAGCTTACAAGCTTGACTGTCATATCAAAATTTTTATCAGACTTAAATCCCTTTTGGTTTTGCTTGTTGCAAGAAAGAAACGTGAAACTTGCTAGCTCAGGTTTTTATTTTTAATTGTGAAGATAAACATCTGAACTGCTTACTTGCTCAATAGTTAAATTGCTGTTTCATTCTTGGATCTATTTTTCTAAAGCACCACAACTACCATCAAACATTTTCTCCTAAAAGCGTTAGTACAAAAAATAGCCACCTGTTTCTAGATCGGCTTTGGTTTTGTAAGTACCTGTTATATGTTTATAACAGCTATTGTTATGAGGCTTTAAATCATAAAACTACACAGTTTGGGGCACAGCTGAATAAAGATGATCACACCACACTCATTTTCTTCTTTTGTAATTAAAAAAAAAAAAGAAGTTGCATTATTTATTGGCTTGAGCACAAGACTAAAGACTAGAAATGACTAAGTTCATCTCAGCTCTGGTAACGACCTACTGCACGACCCTAGGTCCTGTCTGGATTCTTACCTACATTACAAAGCGTTCAGTGAAAGAGCTATGCTGCCACTCCTTCCTAAAAATCAAAATACTAGCAAGTAAGCTCTTGGCAAGCAAGGGCAAGCATAATGAATATCAACAGCACAAGTCTTTCTAATACAGTAAGCTTGAGCAAGAGCTTTCACCAAGTGCTGGAGTCTCATGCTTCAGGGCCCTCTGTAGTGTGCATGAAGATGCAGATATTATCAAGTGACAAAGCGGAAGAGGTAACACAAGCCTGAAATGCACGGGAGATACAGAGATACCATGTAATTACGGCAGATGCTCCAAACTGCCACCGTGGCCTTCCCCTGGCCCGTGACCCAGCATGTCAGAGGCACCCCCTGTCACTTACTTGATGGGCAACAATGCCACCTCATGTATTAAGAAGGAGAAAAAGAAAAAAAAAAGTCTCTGAACTCTTTTTCACCACGTACACATCTGCCCCCAGGATTCTGCTGGACTAACTATACTGCAGAAGGAGAAAACCCACCACCGGCAGAAGCCCGACTGACGGGGCTGTACTGGGAACCCTGTCAAGTGCAAGCCAGGCCTCAGACTAGTCTCTGGCCTAATGAGAGCAAGTCTAACATACTTTGCATATGTATTGCGAGAACAAATGCATGCCATTATGCACTTCGAAGACAAACAGCAACATAAAGCGTTCAGTCTGAGTGAGGAAAAAGGAAGGAGATAACATTGTCAGCATATGTTCACTGTATTTTTCTGCAAAAAAAAACCATTAATACTTATACTGCAGGAAACCAATGTTCTTATGGAACTACAAAAGAGTACAGGAATTTAAACGGTAACTGCTTCAGTAATCAAAGAAACCAACACTACTGAATTAGCCTTCATTTGGGGCAGGTAATACCAACAATAATTTGAATGTCAGTTATTCTAAATAGAAACTAAGTATTAAGGCTCTTTTCCTAAGTGACAGGCATAAGAAAAAGGAAGAGCTTCAAATACTGTCATAACTATTTAAAATATTATTTAAAGTATCAGCACAGAACTGTTTATTTCATGGCCAAGCACAGTCATTATTACAGAATTTCTTCCAACAAGAACAAGCATGAATCTCCGTGCAAGAAGTAGATGCAAGCTCACATCACAGCTTAATCGGTAACATTTTATAAAAATAAAGATTAATCTTAATCATAAATATGAATCACACTGTACTAAATGTGCAGAGATTTACATTTTAGGAGTTAATGGAGGTTGCACAGATAATTCCCCTTAAAAGCAAACACAAGCAAGCTTCTGTTTAATCACGCAAGGAAAAATTCTAAGCTAGGATAAAGGAACACTGTATTTGGATGCCCACAGGACTTCAGTTTTCTTCAGAAAGCAGAAAGCTACCTGTGTCAGAGAGATTGTGTGTTAGAAACTCATATAATGTTTGCTGTGAACTCCATCGCATCATAGCGCTGGCACCCGAAGGACTCATTAGAGCCTGGCGGTAGCGCAGCGAGCCGGCTCTGAGCAAACAGGCCTCACAAAAGCTCGGTCAAGCTGCATTCAGCATCTGTCAGCAGCATTTAGCAACAGGCCGGAGAGCGAAATACAACACTGCATTTATTCATTAACATTAGACCAGGGAGGAAATCTGTTGGCGAGTTTGTAAACAGTTTTCCCACTCTGCCAGAAACATTATTGCAAGATCTTGTCAAATAAGAGTTTCATTCAGCGCCCTCCTCCTTATCCCGCCCATGCTCAAATGGGCTGAAATGAAGGGTTACATTATAAAGCCCGAGTTTTTCAAAACCACTGGGAACCAGTGATCATGTACAAGCAAACTAACACAGGTAAGAGTGCAACCTAGACACAGCCAAGAAACCATGCCTCTGACCAATTCATTATTTTACCAGATTACGATGGAAAATGGAAGAATACATGCACCCATTTTTGTTTACTTGTCAAATAGGCAGCTGGTTATCTTGTTTTGATTTCTTCGTCATCTGTTGAGTTACAAATTACTTTTCACTACACAAAGTACTGCGAGTATGACGCTTTCCAATTAGGAGCTTACAGTCTACAAAGAAAGGATTGGTATTGCAATTCAGAGAGCCGAGGGCCAAACAGCTTGCAGATTTTGTATCAGAAAGGAGGCTGTTTGCTCCTTGCCGCTTAGCGCTCGCTCAGCCAGGAAAGCGTCTAGCATTGTTAACAGGACGCTTTTTAAATATTCCTGATTTAAAAAAAGCAGATTTAGGAACACGCTGTAGACTTAGGAGGTTTATACCATTTCCCATCAAATGCTGATCAAATTACATATACTCATGAACTCGAGTAAGGAGTCAGATTCACAGCAAGACACTATACCTGTAAAAATAAGCACGTACTCCCTGTGGTTGTTAGCACACAGAAATAAACTAACGTGAAGAAAAATCCTAACAAGGACACAATAACTAATCACAATGCCGCAAGCGTACCTCACTGACACCTTGCATCAATAACTGACCATCTCCGAAATCATGAGTAAGCCACGTCACTTGGTAGTTCTCAGAATGAGGTTTCCAAAGTCCCTTCAAGAGCAGAGGCACAGCTAACACGAGCCTCAGCTCTTCCCGAGATTCTCTTCCCCATCGAGTGGTCCAAACACCTGAAGTCTGAGAATTACTTTGTGTGCGTTTAGTCAACGTCGCAGAAATCCCAAGGTGGGACGGGGTTGGGGGGGGGTGGAGAGATTTTGTCATACACAGATTGGAATTTAATTCCCAGCGAAGCCTTATGCCTGACTGCCCAAAGCTTGAGGATACGGTATCTCATCTCTTCAGTAACTAATTCAGATTACTGTGTAATGATAAAACCAACACACGTGACAGTTCTTAAAACGAGATGGCAGAGGATGTTGAACGTCTGAACGTCGAGGAGCACATTTGCTGCCTGTTACAGCAAGGAAAGCCTTTTTGCTTAGAAGACAAATGCCAGTAACCTTTACTGCCAGAAAGGCTAATGTTGTAGGGAGTCTAAAAATCACCTCCTGTGTCCCAACAATTAACAACATGCAAAAGATACAATTTTCCTCTGTTTCAGAATAAACTGCTAAGCCTTTAATTAACTGCACGCTTCAGCTATTTTGAAGTGTATCATCTAACAGAGGTTCTGTAGCTCTTGGGGAGACGAAAAGGAGGACAGTGGGGAAAATAAAGGAGAAAAATTAAGTTTAGGTGCTTTTCTTTTTTTATTTCTTTTCTGGGTATGACGGCTACTCAAGGTTTGTATATTTCAAAGTTAATATTGTGTTTCAGCTTTTGATTTTCAAGGCTCAGTCAAAATACCCATAACAATTATTTTCATTGAAGTAATTTGTCTAAAGCACGTATATATCCTGCTACTAACAGGAAGTTTACATTCAAAAAGAGAAACCTTCATAAAAGCACTGTGGCCTTAAAACCATAGCTATACATGCCTTCACACAGTACAGACGGCATAGTTTGTGGTGTTATTTAAGAGTAGCAAATGAGTTGCCATTACTCTTTTCAATGCTTGAATTAACATTCTGCTATATTTAAGCAAGTAAACACGAGGTGAGGTATCAAGATAGTGTTAATACTGCACTGAACTGAATCAGTGACTTACTCCATTTCAACATAGCCTAAACTTCCTACGGGGAAAAAAAAAACAAAACAAAAAACTGCTACATCTTACTAGGAGAACTTCAGTTAAAACTGTAACAAAACGCTAATCAAGAATGAAAATTTCTCTGATCAGCAAACAGGGAAGTTTCATCACTGCAATGCTCAACTGAAAAACTGTAAGCCAAATACCTCTTCTTCAGTATAGCGCCTGACTCTTCACTACCACCACTGGGGGTCAAACCCAAAGCACTCTGTTGCTCCCCAACAAGAAAAGAATGTTTATAAATACAAACTGCGGGTTTCATCCCATCAACTTTTCCCAAAAAAGACCCCTGCCAGCACCCGTCATCAGGAAGCAGACTCACCGAGAGGTAACTGCTGGAATCCACATTGTCGGTGATGGTCTGCCGTTCCCCCCGCTGGTTAATCTTCCTGAACCTTCGCCGAGACTGCCTGAGGGGAACTTCTCTTTGCAAGATATTTTCTTCATTGTCTTTGGAGTTCTCAACCTGAAACACATGTTCAGGCTCCTGGTTAAACATCCAGTTCTTCCATATCACTGAAAGCCGATGGAGTCTTAACAAGCTCATGAGGAAGGAGCTAACATAAGTTCAGAGCAGTTAAGCTTTTCTTGAGAAACAGACTACAAAGCTTTAGAAAAGCAGCGCTACATGTCTCAAAACTATGTTTTTACAATGAGCTTGACCACAATTTCCTTCCAGGAAACAAACCAAAAAAAAAAGCGCACGTATCCTCTAAACAATGTCGCTTACCAGCAGAAACCCTTTTGCACCCACACGCTCTATAACAAGAGATGTATATGCTGCTCATTTCAAGGATATCTTCAACACAAAAATTATAGTTATTTGAATACTTACCATCTGGTAAAGCCACTGAATTACACTGTATTTTTTATTTGTGGAATTTTTTTGAAAAACATAAAGATACTCCTAGTACCAGTCACAATCAAACGACTTTAAGTGTCCTAGCTATATTATAGATAACCCTCAGTCCTACTTCACCTATGCCATACTTATTTACGATCACTTCCAACAGATTATAAAGAAATAACCGGAATTTGGTCTTGATGTTCAATTTTATTCGTGACTAAACATTAGAAGTAAGGTAAATTTATTTTGTTAGTAAAAGCCAACATGAAACACTTATCTGACTAGTTCCCATTCCTTTTTTCTATAAAAAGCAGTTCCATCCTTCCACATTTCCTTCTGATGTGCTGGAAAAACATATCCTAGCAGGAAGCAGAGCAGACGTGCACACAAATAGGCTGCAGCCAGGCAAGAAGCGTCTCTGCAGTGTATTTACTGTACAGGAGTTTATTCTATCTTGTACTATCTTTTGGCTTTTTTTTTTCCTCCTCTTCCAATTTCAGTTGAAAGTCATAAACATAAGAGATTTGTACCGAAACAGGAAAAGAACCTCTGTTCTGTATTGTCTTATGCAGCTCTCACCTAAGATATTTGGTAAGTCTGCTCAAAACTCAAATTCAAAAATACAAAAGCACAAAACCCAAAGAATTAACAGATAGCAACAAGCATAATGGCAAACATCTCAACCATCCACAAAAGCAACAATCACACTATTTTCTGTATTGCCTTTTCCAAACATATTGGTCTATCTGAGGTCAGAGGAAGATGCTGAGCCTTGTTAGTTATTTTTAATACCATGAAGAACATATACTGACAACACTGCTTAAAAATACAGTAGTTAAAGAAGAGCTAACCTCACCTCACAGCTTCATCAAAAGGAAAGCAGCAAAGCCGAGTTCCACTAGCACGTGGCCACCACCCTTCACTAGAACGTTACTATATGTTTGCAAAGGCCTCGGACAGCGAGCAGTAAAAACTATCTAGCGGCAGTGTGGCAGTGAGCATGACGGTATAAAGAGGTAGAAAATTCAAGGCATCTAGGTGGGCAACATAACTTTAAAATAGACGATTTAGTATCATCATAAAAGGTAATCAGACTCTGGGCACAGAAGTCCTTCTTCACCCAGTATAAAATATGGATTAGCTGGTAATAACGTTGCTATTGAATTTTATAGAAAGCTTCTCCTTTCAAGCAATTAAGTTTGGTTTCCTAGCTACTCAAATAAAAGAAATATTGTAGCACACACATACAGAAAATTAAAAATGAAATCAACACTAAGGAGAAGCGTTTTAAAAAAAAAATGCCTTACTTCCTTTTTTCTTGGGGTCCAATCTTACAGGATCACAGAAACTAAAACAAGCACTGAGCTCCTCCAACAGAACCAGCTAACCTGGAACCCTAAGGCTCTCTGAAACAGCAAGACGTTTACTATTTCAGTACTGAAGACCCTTGTATTTTTAAGACTACAGTAAAACAAACACTTACTATAAGATGAAGCTATTTTTCTTCCACAATTCTAACTGAAAACTAAGAAGTGAACATAAATACATTATTTGTTAGCACAGAGGCAAAACAACCAACTGCTAGTGGAAACTACGAAACTGAGACCACCTGCTTCCTTCAGTTAATACCACTACTGTATAACTGACAAAGACACCAAAAAAAGAAAAAAGCGCAACACACACTGAAAAGACAGACCTTTATACCACATAATTTAAAATGTAGTGTTAAAACCTATATAAGCGGCATTATTTCTAACTGAATCAACTCCAACTCAGCAAAGCTGCAGAGGTCTCGAAATCTGTATTTGTCACATGTTATACGGGGCTTTCATTTGTAGGTTGCTAACAAGTTTTTTGTAAAATGTTTAATCAGCATTTTGAGTCCAGCTGACCATCCGACCATTTACATTCATGACTTACAAAAAACACAGGCGGCATACTAACAGCGCAAGTAGTGACAGCCACAGTTTAGGGCTCTGTGGCATTTCTCGTTACTCAGAAGCGTTTTCAGTGGGTTAAAACCAACAGACAGATAGTGCTACCGCTCTCCACAAAGGTGTCAGCTCCGGCTGAATTTACTCCTGAATTTCTCAAAAATAGTTCTGCTTTTCCAGAGATTAAAGATCAGAAAAACACGAGTGCCTCTGCGCTGCGGAGCACGTTCTTCATACTTCACGGGAGAAGTGGCCCTGGGTGTCAGGAGCATGCCTGTGCCACTCACCCGAAAATCTACTCGGATGCTGTCACGTTACGAGCTTCTGCAGCACATCAGCTCGTACACCCTCACCAGAGACTGCTGACTATTCACGGGCTCACTTTCTTGACAATTCTGCTGGTAGAGATCACATTCCACCTCCTCAACGCCCTGGGCAGGACAAACACTGCCACAAAGACACTAAGCATCTCCGTGGATGCTGCGAGCAGTGGCCCCAGGCTTTGGGGCAAGGGCAAGGCTCTTCTAGGGCCCTAGGCATAGGGAGCATCAGGCTGGAGAGCAAAAAACAGGCTGCCAGATCGGACAGAAGAGGTAGGTGGAAGAGAGCATGGGCAGATGGAAAAAGGAGAAGAAAAATAAAAGGAAGAAAAAAGGAAGAAAAAAAAGCAAGAGTATAAGAAAAAGGGGAGGAGCATGGTAGGTAGACAACAGATATAGGCAAGTACCGAGATAACGCGCACAAGAACGGACAAGGGAGGTAAAGAGAGAACAAGTAGGCCTGGCAGAGCGGGTGAGCAGAAGAAACAGAGGAAGAGAGAAGTAGAAGAAAACCGAGGAGGCCCCAAGCTTTTACTGAAAGAAAGGGAGGGGGGGAAAAAACACACACACATCCACACACATGTTGAACTTTCGTAATTAAAGATTCTATCCTATTCATTATGCTCAGAGGGGTCAACACCAAGTAAGATAACTTGAACTCTAGAAATTACATTTCATTCAAATATTAGAAATGCAATAGTCTACATATGATCTACAACTCATCTCTGCAATATTCTTAATATTTGGGGGTTTTATTAGATAAAGTTTTAAAGCTGCAGGTCAGTAACTGCTGAAAAATTAGAGACCAGAGAACATCTGCTATTTTCAAAACAAAAGAAATAAAATATTTTGACCTCCAAAGTCTGTTCTACGGATGAATTGCTACCACAAGATTAGAGCATGGATACTACAGACTAAAAACAACGCTTGTGAGTAGCAATAGAGATCCATCACATAGAAAGACTAAATTTAGTATCCGGTAAAGCAAAAACATAATTTGGCTTTTCATACATAGGCAACATTTGAAAAGGCAGGGAAAGCAACAATACGCCGTATTTCTTACTCAGTAACATGGAATGCCACCTTCACCATGAGATAGCGATCATAAACATATGCAAAAATGAGTAAGAGTAGATCACAAGCATATATCAAAATAGCAGATGTAACAGACAGCAAACTTAAAACAATGCTGGAAGGCCTCACTTTTAAACTGGCATGCTTTGCTTTGTGCATCCTGTTCTGGCAGGGATGCTAAAACGCAGGCGCGACAGCAAGGAACTGTGCTGACTTCCTAGGTCATTCTCAGTAGGACACACCTTTGTTCCTGTCCTGGCGAAATGCAGCCCCAATAGACTTCTCAGTATTTCAGTAGGTAACAAAAAGCCTGGAGTAACATATTAACTGGCTAGTTTCTTATCAAAGGTGTTTTATTAACCCTGATACTGGTACTGCAGAATCCTTCTGTGCAAACAGCTGCAGCCACAACGCATGCTGCCATGTAAAGAATGAGGAGGATCATATGGTTCTCCTCAATTTCACTCTATGCTCAGTGCTAGCAATGAAAATATTTTTATCTCCAAATATCATGCTGCTCTTCTGAAATCTTCTGCTTGAATCTACCAAAGAAAATAAAAGCACCAAGGAAAAACAGAAGAGAGACTTCAATACATTGAAATATGCTGCAATTTTGGGCCATATACTTAAATGACAAATAGGCCTATTAATTCAATATATTGTTCAGCCTCCAAAACATGAGCTACAACGCCTGTTCACATACTATCCGTTATCCTCATTAGCGTAAGCTGACCACATTTTATGGCTTTCAAAATGGGTCAGCTCCCAGGGGATTCCCATTATGAGACTGATTTACATTCTAAAAGCAAAGAGAAAGGGGAGGGGAAAAAAACATACAGGCACACACATATTCATATATCAGCAGTGAAATCAGTGAACTATCGTGCGCTTTAACTTTAAAGTAGCTAATTCTTTTGCTTGAAGACAAATATTCATCATGCATTATACCTCAATCAGTATGTTGCAAATGAAAAAGCTTATCTCCTAGGGGGAAAAAAATAGAGAAATTAAAGAAATTAAGAAAAATTAATAAGAATTAATCAGAGAAATGAAACTCATACAGTTTGTGTCAAAGCAAATCATTAGCAATATGCATGCCACGAGACTAATGCCCTTTTCTCTCCCCATTTGAAACCCTACAAAGAAAAATGACAGTAATTAGGTGCTTTAGCCACATCTACCTGTGAATTATGTATTAAAAATAATGAAGAAACAACTCTCCAACTTGTAGTTTTGACTTTCCTAGAGAAAAATACACTAAAGATCCAGAAAAGAACTGAAAATATTTTCAAGCGTCTCTGTACTCCTAGTGGAATTTAATTACAGAAAATTCAGGAAAGATGCTTGAAACATAGAAAGCAGTATGTCACGTTGCGTATTTGTCTCCAGCAACAACTACTCCGTTTAAGAGTGTTTCATTCAAATGCCACACAAGCTGATGGAAAGATGATTTTTTTTTTTAAGTCTCATTGTTCGAGGCTTAACTCATGACTTCTGAAATCTCGACATTGACAACATCGGCTGCTTCTTCTTCTGACTTGATTCATTCCTCTCTGAAAAACCTCAATGTTTTAGCTATTCAAGTTACACACTTACACACGCCCACCTCTAGGATCTTCATAAAATATTTTGGTAAGGTCACAGCACACTCTACAGAGAAGCTACTCTTATGTGTATCTTTATGCAATTTTTTTTTTTTTTTAAAAACAATAACAGTAATAAGGCCTAACAAGAATTTTGGTTATTTCCTAAGAATGTTACATTATTGCACACATTTTGCCCATGTTCACTTCATGTAAACTTTCAAAACAACCTGTAGCTAGTGAGCCATCAGCTAGCACTGTGAGGACACTCGCATACTTTCCACGTGCACTTGAGACTGTTCCCGCTTCGAACAACAATAGCATCACAGGTCTACTACATTTTTGTAGCAAACATACCAGGTCCATTAATGATTATAGTACCAGTTGTATAAATAAAAAATTGTATAGCTCGTTCGTAAATGAAATTATTCTATAGCTGTTACTTGTTTAGAAACAATAGGCCACATTTTCTCTTCATTTACTCCAACTTTAAAGGATTACAAACAAAGATACAACAGCTATACGTGATCAGGTAAATTAACGTTTGTCATTACGTGATACGTGGTCCCAGGAGCATCGGAAGCGCAAGGCCCAGCTTGCCTTCGGCAGCGGACGTTCACATACTCAGCGCACCAAGTCCTAGGTAGCAGCAGTTATCGGGCAAAAACGTGAGGCAGCAGTAACAACTAGGAGTGCCTGGGGCATTCACGCAACACAGCTGCACGTATCGCTGTCAGAGCAGTCCTGGGGCATCCCTCAAGGCACAGCTATCTCCCCCAAAATTCTCATTTTTGAGAAGAAACTGGATAATTAGGAAAATACAAGCAAACTATTTCGCTTCAGAAGACTGGGATGGGCTTCTTGCACCACTACTTGTGCCCTGCCAGGTTCTTTTCTTGTCATCCCTACTAACGTAAACCAAGTAGCAGGCAACTAAGTGAGCTGCTATCCTGTAAGTCACTCATGTATCTAAAGACCTTTTTGTCTATTTTTGGTTGCAGCACTTAATACTGACAAAAGTAAAAAGGTAACTTGATCTAGAAACTGGTACTGGATGCTGCCTGAAAATATAATTCAGCCTCACGACTGAAATCACTGCCATGGTCCAAATTAAATCTCATTTTTTTCTTTCTAGAAAATCTGTCTTTTCACAATTGCACCCATTTCATGACACAATACCTGAATTGGACAGTGAGCGCTCTGCAGAGTTTACTTCCACTAGCACTACGCAACAGCTAGCAGACATTTGATGGCTGTAAACTGAACAGCCACCCATTCAAAGTTCTGACAGAAATGTGATACTTCCATGGTTTTTAAACCGAGAAAAAGGGAAATATTCATAAAGTAATCCCATAAAAACTAATTATTCAAATTTAACAATCACCCCAACAGATGGGACAGTATTCTTGTAATCGAGCGCTCGCAGGAGCGCGAGCGTAGCGACCTGCACAAGCGAGCGGGGCCCCTCAGCAGGTTCCTTCCTCTGGGTACGTTCGGTTCAACGCCGGCAGGAGACTTTGGCGCACGTGACCCTGAAGGTTCTTGCCCAAAAGGCTAGCTGTCTCTGGACAGAGGCTGTCACTAGGTTTTTAGGCCTTTAAAGCCTGCTTCTCTATTCAACTAGCTTCATGCCAGCCACTTCAGAATATTAGTTTCCTCCATGTCACTACAAATAACTGAGAATCAGGAGATCTCCTCACATTTGAAGTGAAATATAATGGAAAGAACTAGAAAACTACCTCAGCTTTGAGGAAAGAAGATTATATCTGAAATATCCAGACTAATGCAGAACAAGGAAAAGAAAATATCAAATCAAGTGAAACATGATTGTGAGGCTGGTTATCGTTTCTCTGTCTATAATCCTGGCTTTCTAGACAAAGCCTTTCCAAGAAAGCTGCTAGATGGTCACCATCCTTATTGTCAGGCTTGATGAAAATTACAGCTCCAATCAAATCACTCTTGACCCCATTACTGTATTACAAAATGCTTGAATAAAAGTTGCACACGCCAAGATTGACAGCCAAAAAGCTGCTTACCATAGCTAGGCAGGAAGCCCAAGGAAAGCTTCATGCCACGAAAGAAAAAAGGTGGGCAGGAAAAACAGAAGTGTTCCAGGAACCTGCAAACAGGAAAGACTCCAAGCACTCTGCAAAGGCTTAAAAACAAGTCTATGGCACTGAAATCAATAGCTGCACCATCCTCAGTGAAACTAAAGCGTTTCAAAATACAGTGAACTGTTTGAAAAGAAATCCTAGGTAACTGTCCTGAACATTTCAGCCGTTTATTAATCTGTTCATCACCTCTGACTGCATCTATATTAGCAGTTTAGTTTGGAGGGTGCATTTGAAGCAAATCTCTTGATTTTCTCAACTTACAATGCTATGATTCACGCTGCAAAGCGGTCTCTGAGAGCACAAACTGGATTCCCCTTTGGATAAAACTAAGCTGGAAGATTCACTTCGGAAGCACACTTACCACACTCCCAGTCATTTATAGGCATTCAATTCACAGGGCTAGATTAGACTAGTCTGAAGTAGAATACCCTGAAACAACAGGGGCATGGACACTGGATCCTCAGTATCAACAGCTTCACTCTATAAATCTGCTCCTATTATGCAGGACTACTTGCTAAAGGCCATGTCTGCATTAGCAGAGAGCACTCAAGTCCCATAGCTGTCTACCTCACAGGAGCTAGCATCGCCAACTACAATATAGTCTCAAAGCTCTCAAGTGGGTGCCACAGAAGGCAGCAGACAAATTTATTTCTACTTAAATACCTAACCGTCAAAAATCAGCTCGCAGGTTAGAGTGACAATCAAGTAAATGATCTCTCATGGTATGATGGACCAGGGCAGCATGCTGTAATAGCTATTTTCTACACCTAGTTTAAAATGGGGTGAATAGTTGCGGTAAACTAGCACAATACTACATGCTGGGATATGCTTAAGGTGCATCTTTGATTGTATGGTATTAGCTTCACAACATGGCAGACTGCAGCTTAAAACTATCTGTTGCAAAGAATACCACTGATGCTATCAAAGCCAATGAGCAGAATGAGACTGACACGGCACAGAAAGAAAGGCACACAGGACTGCAAATGTACTGAATCCAGGACATCTGTGATGTCCGCTGCTGTTAGTGTACTGCGAGAACTGAATTAATTTCTAACAGAAGCAGAATATTCACATACTCAATGAGTAAGAGACACCATCAAATACTAGTTTTAATGATACCATATCTAGATATAAGGCAGCTAAATCAATAGCAGTGTGGAGATCTAAGCCTGCTTAACAGACGGCTTCTCAGTACAATGAACATTTTTGTTCCAGCTCTGTCCGCGGCAACATAGAAGGTCTAAGTTGATAGGGACCTTTCCGGGTCTCAGGTATGACCAGTTGCACTGTGCTATTAGGAAAGCACTATGGAAAAAGCAATACTAACATTCCAGCTGCTGATAGCACACGCACATCAGTCTGGGAAGAAATGAATTATAATCTGTAAACACATATGAACTTGGCAGTGTCAATAAGTATGCTAAAGAATCTTCCATAGTTCCTTTAAAGTAGAAGGAAATTTCTCTCACCTAAAAACCTTCACACTAGGTAGAACTGCAAAAGCTAAGAGTGCTTCTCCTACCAGACCCAGCACTGCTGGCATGTCTACAAAAAAACAATGAAATGGGGTTTGCGTGCATGTGCGTGTGTATAAATATTCAAGATAGCACACTAGTGTTGCCTGACTCCAGAATACTTAAGTCAGCCGTAGCTGGTAGGCCTCTGAAACACAAGTAGTAAACATAATTTTAGAAAGAATGACACAATCATCCTTATCATCATTACCCATCTAGATTAAATTTACATAAAACTATTGCTGCTACAAAAGTAGTCCTAAGTATAATTGAAATCAAGGCAATTTTGCTGTAGTTTTAAGAAATACTTTGCAATAAGCTCTCTGCTACATGACGCATAAAGAATCTGCTGAAACTTGCAATAGACTTAAAAACACTTGGAAAAAAAAAATCTGTCTTACCACAATCATTTCTGAAGGCTCCAGTATGATACATTCGCATCCCCTTTTTCCTCCAGACTGCTTGCCAAAACTAGAGTGGGATAGAAGAAAAAAATAAAAAGAATGAAACAGTCTATTTTACCTTTTCAGTAATAAAAATCATTGACAATGGTGCATATTACAATATCCAGCCCCTAAAAAAGAGGGCAACTGATGAAAGCTATTGTGATAAAAATTCTAACAATATAGTTCCATTATTATGATTTTTAATTTACTCCGCACCTCTTACCGCGGCCTATGATATAAAGCCTAAATGACCTTACAAAAGTATGTTCTTTATATTATTACCTGCAGATATTTAGAAACATTCACAATGGATTTCACTGCTGACAAGAAATCATTAGTAAATGTTGATTAGACATTATGCAGGCTTTGTAGAAACAAACTTCTTTGTACATAGCATTTTCTTTTCCAGAGCTCCCTCAACTCCACATCCACCCTCCATTCTCCCAGCAAACTCTTCTCTAATATTTAGCCTTAAACTTGTGACCTCTGTCTATACGCTGGTTCTTGCACTGTCACTATGAGCATACCATCACGACGGGTTCTGTTTAAAAATATGAAACCAGAAAAAAAAGCTTCCTCTAAAGAGCACGTTACAAAGAGCAACACAATGAATGGGACAGTATAACACAGCAATTTAGGGGAGAGGCTAAAGTCCATCAGATGTGCTTCATCTGATTCACTTCAAAAAGTTACTACCTTCAGGATACCTAAAGGCACCTACATTAAGCAACTCATTACTAAAACTTTCAGGCCTTCTTTCACACTTTTTCCAAACAGCATGTGATCCAGGCAGTCTTCAATGTTTATGACAGATTTAAAAAATAAACAAACAAAAAAAACCACACACAGCCAAACCACTCAGACCGCTACAATGAAGTTATTTCAGAAAACACAGGCACTGAACAAGCTATTGCATATTTTTCTCTGGTATACAAACACGTAGCTTCTCTAGCAGGCAGGAGGCCTGCTGCCTTCAACGTATTTCATGAGTTTCCTGCAAGTTTTCAGCAAGGCTTAAGAATGATGTTCATTCCTACTTATTTTGTAGGATTACATAATAAAATGGTTAGAATACACAGAAACCAAGCCCTGCAACTATGCACCAGGAAAGACTGCTTTCCTTCAGTAGTAACATCCACTAGCACTGATAAAAGGTAACAGGAAAATCTCATTAGCAAAGATATACGTTCATCTGTCATGCGCTACATCTTTTGTCAGTTAGGCATTCGTCACAGAACTTGTACTAAAAGCCATTAACCAATATTAAAGTTCAAACATCTCCTTTAGTGGTTTATTGCCACCAAGTTTGGGCCTTAACTAGTTCAGGGGCATACATCAGCAAAAGAGCCAGAGCAGACCCGCGCGCGCGAGAAAGGGAGGAGGTGCGGCAAGGGAGGTGAGGAGGAAGCAGCAGCCGAGCAGCCCACCAGAGTCACCCAGATCTGCTTTGGAGCGAGACCTAAGCCCTTTGGGGGGGGTTCCGGGCAATCAGCAGTCACTCTCCTGTTTTTTATAAAAATGATTTCTGGCATTCAGTTAATGAGTAATGAGCATTGTAAGGAAGACAGTGAGAGAACTGAATGATTAGGTCTTAGAGTCACCTAGTCAGGTCTAGCATTAAACCCGGCCTCTTCTAGTTAATGAAGAATTAACAGTATAGTTAACTATGAAAATATGAGAATAATTTCAATATCAAACAAGTGAAGAGGTTTGGAAATGGAAAAGGTCATGCTGAACAAAAGCTAAGAAACAGTCTTTCCAAATAGGATTCTGTCTCCTCTATCACACAAAATGTTCTTCTAATTTCTTTGACAAAAACAATTTGAAGTCTTTAAATGCCCATCACAATCCAAATGATGCTCCATCTCACAAGCTCAAAGAAAAAAAAAAAACTTAGAAAAACTAAGGTTGGAAATATGTTCTACACATCATTCTGGAAGAGCCAGTACTGGCTCTTCTCTCAGGAAGACTCGTTCTCCTCTCGTGGGAGCCAAGACCCCTTGGAGTTCCTGCAGCAGCTGTCATTCATTATTCTTTTAGCGCTGGTTATCAAAGTCAGCGCTTCAGCAGCTCACTGCGTCCACGCGAGACCCCGAGCGCGCAAGTTCCTCGAGGCAGCGAGCTTCGCTCCCGGGGGGCTCCGAACTGCCCAGCCTGTTTCAGCTGATCGTTAGCACTGCTGTTTACCAGTCACTGCAACAGCATCTAAAACAGTAAACAGGTCCCTAAAACCTAAATCTTCTTGGTGCCACACGTAGCGAGATATGGAAGAGGAGCAGGAAAGCCTTAAGTGTTACATGCAGAGAGCACGGAAAAGTAATCCAGTTCTTTACTAATACAAATGCTGAATATAAATGCAAGAAAACATGAAACTAATGTAAATTACACTATTTACAATACAGTAGAAACTATGTTAAAGGATACAACATTGAATGTATAAACATTGAAGTTTTAGATGATTCAACTACTCATACTTTGCCCGCTCTAGATATTTAATCAAACTTATTTTTGCAAGGTCTTAAATCTGACAGTTATTCTACAGTTTCCTCACCATCTGAAGCCCAGAAAAGCCAGTACTGTAAATCTGACTGCATTTTTAATTTTATAAAATTTTGTGTGCGCCTGTCACTTAATATCCATCTATTACATCTGCATCATTAATTTGCAGACACTCAGTCACTGGCTTTCAACACTGTTACAGGGAAAGGGCCTTCCATATATCAAAGAAGCCTTCATTTTTGTTTGATTTATGTATGCCTCGTTTGTAAGAAGCCTTGTTTTCCTCCAGATTCACTGCTATTTGTAATTAAGAATGCTTAAGCAAACACATCATATGGGAAAGGAATGCAAGTTAAACCAGCATTATATCATACGCCAACCACTAATGGGCGTTCAGGCCATGGAATCAGACCAGAGCTACTGAAAAGTAAAATCCCAGGACTACAGATAATGTGGTTATTAGTGTCAACTGCTTCGCTTTGGACATATGCTCCTTTTCCACTGCGTGATAACCATTTAGGACTGGAACCAGAACGCAAAAATCTTAAACCTGCAAGCATTTACATATATGCTCGACTTAACCGAGACAACTTCGTTGACCAAAATTACTCGCTGGATAGAGCCTTTGATATTTAAGCATAGCGCAGTTTTCAAACTCATGTCCACTCCCAAAAGCACTGGCATTCTAACACAACCAAACAATTTACAAGAAAAGGCTTTACAACTTTTACACTGTCACTGTCATTTTTGTAAAAGCAAGGTTTGCAGTGAACTGCCTTAAAAATCCTCCAAAATAACATACTTTGAACATCATAATTTATTTCTTTAAAACACAGTGTACACAAACATCTACAGTTTTCTATACACAAACGCTCAAAAACATTTAATATTTAGCTGTTAAATTACTTAGGTATATGGTCCTGAGACACATCTGCAATTTCAAGAATTATGCGTTTAAGGAATGGGAACCATATTAAGTACTGGAATTTGTTAATATCAGTGCCCTGAAGTTTTTTCACTACTGACCGTTTTCCATATACAATTCTCAAAACATAGCAGATACTTTAAAGATTAAAACAAAATAGAAAAGAACAAAGACACACGCAGCTTGTCCCAAGGAGCTCTGAGCCTATAAACACAGAGATTAAGACTGAATACCACGTTACTCGCTTGAACGCTATTTAGCTTGCAAAATTCACAATATTCCGTTGCAGCCTGAAATAATATTTTCAGATATTTGCTGCATCAAATCCTTCAATGAAGGGACGTTAGGCACTCTAAAATTTCTTCTCTATTGTCCAGGAACTAGAAAATCATAACATTATACTGGCTGTGTAAGTTGGCATCAATATTGCCAATAGCTTATCAATCACCACCAATTACTCTCTGCAGTGATACCCTGCACTATGTTAGATGCAGGACTGGGGAAGGACATGGATGCATCAGTACATCAGCGTAACAAACAACGCGCCTGTAATTTTCTGCGGCTATTTTGTGTATATGAATACACTTTTCTCTCTCAAATTGCCCGTTTGCCTGTCAAACTGCTCTCAGAAAAACAAATCACGGAGATGAGGACGAACTGTACTTTTTGCCATCGCAAAGAGAACCCAGTGACCCCATACATTCAATCATCTCAGCCAGTAACCTGGATGGATTTCTCAAATGCAAAAGCATTTCTCACACAAGCATGCACTTTGCCCTGGAAGATACAAGTTGCATATGAAATGCAAATGTTCTCTGTTGTTAGGTTCTTAAACAAAAGTGTTTTTTCTTTTCCACAAGTCAAAGCTCATCCCTCATTTGAAAAGCATTTCATTTTTATTCTCCTCAAAGAGCACCTCTTACGCAAACAGCCGTTCCCATCCACCTCCAGGACATCTGCTGCCATGTGGCCGTTCTCAGATCCAAGATAACTGCCCCTCCATCACCTTTTGAGCTAGCACTGAAGATCCCATACAAGTATATTACGAATGGCTTGGAACAGCCACTTGTATTATTAAACACCCAACTTAAATAGTCTAAAACAAAGTAATTTTAAGCTTAATTTTCTTGCTATTGGCCAGAGAATAACAAAGTGGGGCAGAGGGACCCTGTTTCTGGGCATCTGCATGGAGGTCTTAATTTTTTCAGATTTTTCTACGTTCTACAGTCACCTGAGGAACTGGGTTGCTGTGAAATCTCTAACCCGACTTTGAGAGCACCCTGTGCTCTACTCTGTCAGAAATTCTTGCAGATACACGAAGCAATGAAAGATGAGCATTTCCCACTGCACGCCCAACTTCTGCAGAGCCCTAAGCGCACTGTTTGCAAAACAGCATAACTACACGGGGCAAAGTTGCATGACTCTAGACCTAAAGTTTCAAAGAATCAAACTTATTCCCTTGTATCCCTTCCAAAGGAAAAAAAAGGAATGACAAATAAGGATCTAAATATTTCACTTTTAAAGAATAATTCAACAGATGAGCCAGGGTTAATAAAGGGTCAAAGCGGTTTTTCTTCATTTGTGTTATTTCTGAAAGTCAG